CAGACGTGTGTAAACAGTCAGTTTGACCCTGTGTTGACCTTTGACCTCTCCAGGTGTTCCAGACAGGAAGCATGCGACAAGTGGGAGGAGCCTCAGCACTTCAACACCCGACTGGACCAATGTGTCGACATCACTGTTACCCCTAGCAACATGTCCGTCACCTCCCCGGCAACACAGGTACACACACACACCACACACACACACACACACACACACACACACAACACACACACACACACACCACACACACAGTAGGGGTGGCAGTAGCTCAGTCTGTAGGGACTTGGGTTGGGAATCGGAGGGTCGCTGGTTCAAGTCCAGAAATTGGCCTGGTAGCTGGAGAGGTGCCAGTCCACTTCCTGAGCACTGCCGAGGTGCCCTTGAGCAAAGCACCTAACCCCCCCCACCAGCTCAGGAGCGCCCACTGTGGGCAGCCCCCTCACTCTGAGACCTCTCTGTTGTGTGTGTAGCATGTTAACTAGACAGAGTGTAGAAATGAATTTCCCCTCGCGGGATCAATAAAGTATACATTATAATTATTATTACACACACACACACACTCACCTACTGTGTCTCTCTCTCTCTCTCTCTCTCTCTCTCTGTAGTTAACCATTCGGGTGCAGAACGTCCCGGCGCTCTCTGGGGGCGTGTCCTGCGTCTTTGAGGACCTGAGTGAAACACCTGGAGAGGTGCTGGCTAAAGGTCAGGTGATGTGTCTGTCGCCTTCACTGAAAGACCTGCCGACTAACACACACTCCTACGGTAAGACACACACACACCTCTCATCTCCATGACGATAGAGCGAGCGTTGGGACATGACGGCGTTGAAACATTGATTGTGTGATTTTTGATTTGCAGGAGAGAAACGAGTCGTCCAGCTCAGCCTTCGCTCCACAGAGACCGGACATCAGTTCATCACCACCAACTTCCTCTTCTACAACTGCTCTGTGCTCAACTCGTAAGTCTGGCCTCATCTCCTCTTATATCTCCTTGTTTCCTTTCCTTATCCTGCATGTGTATCCATCCGCTGCAGAAAGTAGTCCCAACAAAAGCTTTGAATCGTTGCTCCCTCTCCTCCTCACTGAGGCTGAAGAAGAGGGAAAATGTAAATAAACATTCTGTAATGTTCTTTGTTTTTTTTGCCCTTCTTTTCGTCTCTCAGGTGCACGTCCTGTGTCAGCAGCGTGTTCCCGTGTCATTGGTGTAAATATCGTCATGTCTGCACCAACAACCTGCAGGACTGCTCATTCCAGGAGGGTCGAGTCAGCAACATGGAGGTACACACACACACACACACACACTCACACACACACACACACCACACACACACACACACACACACACACACACACACACACACACACACAGAGGGACCATTAATTTCACCCTGAGTCTTGCCTCACAGGCTACAATCAGGCTTTAACATGACCTTCTGATAAGGGCAGGGTTCTCCTGCAGCCGATACTCAGGGATTAAAATAATCCGGATTTATCTGCACGACTTTAAAACCAGAAACCCACAAAAACGATATTTTTACAACCACGTCGTCCACAAATGTATCGATAAAGATTCACCTTCAAAACGTATCATAACTAAGTATTTAATTGGCGTTCTTTGAGAGGTGAGGTATTTTGAAAAAGAAAAAGAAAACAATCATTTGGGAAAACATCACTGAAGCATGTTTCATAATCTCACAATGTTTTAGAAAGATGTTAAGCAGGCTGGGTTAAGCAGGTTAATGTTTGTAGTTCTTTGTAGTTTTTTAACATTTCCTTCTGTGAACGACGATGTGACGAGGAAGACTCGAGTCGAGCGAGTGGCGATGAAGGTCAGAGCTGCTCTCTCTGTTATTACACGGTTCAGTAAACAACAGTAAAGCTTCAGGTCAACAGTGAAGGGCACACACACACACACACACACACACACACACACACACACACACACACACACACACACACACACACACACACTCTCTTTGCTGATGTGTTCAAGGACTCGGTGACAGATGTGATTTAAGAAGCTGAGAGGAGGATGAGGACGTTATCTCAGAGAACAAAGTCAAATCAAACTCTGATGATGTAAGAAGTGTTTAAATGTTTTTTATCTTTCTCATGAAGAGACGAGCTGTGAAGCTTTTTGTGTTTCACGTCTCAGCTCAGGGTTATTTTTTCCAGAAATGCTTTGAGTGAACGATCGGCGATGATTTGAGAATTCAGTCAGAGAAACATCAGAGTGTTGGTCAGCTGACAGTCAGAGAAGAGTTCCCCCCTGCAGGGCGAGCACACGGCGCCGTCTATACCGACTCTGTGAACCTGACGGATCTGCAGGCGAGGATAACTGTCAAACACTGTGCTCGCTCGCTCCCCGTCCGCTCGGCCCGTCGCCCGGCTCATAAACAGCTCGTTATCTGGTTTCATTCAGAGACAGTTTGAGGGTCAAGAAAACAGGCGATGCTTTAACACCTCTGATATGAGGCACGATGACAGAAGCAGCGGGAGCGAGACATAGTGAAGAAACAAAACAAAACAAAGACAAACAGGATTCCTCGATAGAGAAGGAGGACATTAAACTCAGAAGTTAGTCTGAACCTTGTTTCTCCTTTTTCTTTATTTAACATCGGTAACTGGAAATCATCTCTAACCACCTACTGACTTCTATGACATTAAAGGGACACTTCATCCGTTAGCATTAATCTTTGTTTCATTAGAAACCTGGTAGTATTTTTGAATGGTCGTGCATCCCGCCCTCATTTTCCCCTGAGATGAGAAATCTTTGTATTTCTGAGTCTGAAAAGGAGCTTCTGATGACGCAAAATGATAATTTTTGCGAAACTACAACGCTAGTTCCTCATATTTTCAACCACTGAAGCTACAGACCAATCACAGATCAGTGGGTGGGAACTCACTCCCAGAATCCAAACTTAATGAGACGGCTGCTGCCGACAGGCCGGTCTTGTGTCTTGGCTGCTGCTGTCGCTGGGATTAATAAAGTTTTTCTGATTCTGATTCTGAAATAGAGGACCTTAGTGGGAGTGGCCTGCAGTGCTGTGCATTCTGGGATTTGGTGTCTTTCATCCACATGAGCCAAAAAGACACTTTCTGCCTTTTCACGTCCAAGAAGGCTCCAACTTCAAAATGTATTTCACATTTCTACATATATGACCCAATGTCAACACAG